CAGGAACACAGCAAGGCTGGTATGTGTCTTAGATTCCTTGCTATGAGCGTGTTCGCTGAAGGCCAGGCAAAACTGAGAAGAACTGAAATAAATCATGTCGGTGCAGCTGGAAACTCTCTCAGGGGTTGGGCTCAGCCATACTGGATCATCCTGATGGTTGCTTCCAGGGCCCATGTGGCTCTTGTGTCTTCTCCTCCGAGGGTCTCGTCTTTGTCGCCTCTGCTGCAGGGTTGTTTGAAAAGTAGCAGATTCTTCTTCTAAGTTTTCACCTTTTCCCTCGGGGCTATTTATGCTAATATAACCCATCTGTTGTTCCACCCAAAGCACAAGGGTCTCCGCTGTTTTTTCCAGTGCAGATTGAGGGCCAATTTTCTGTCACTGTAAGAAAGGGAACTTTTTATTTCTTTCTGGGGAAGCAAATTCTTCCTGATTTCACTCAAGCCCTTTCAGCGTGTGCTCAGAGAGAGAAAGCATATAGTTCGGGAGGCTGATGGCTCTGTTCTGGGGGTGGGGGCAGAGGAGCAGCAATTGATTCATTTGGCAAACAGTTTCTCCTCCCTGCCTTTGGAGATTGGGAGCAGAGGGTCGGATCCATAGGTGCGGACGCCAGCAGGACTCCACCCACCGAGAATCTGGCTCTGAATGTCCTTTCCCCCCTCACCCTATCCTCAGCCTGTCTATTTCCAGGTGCCACCCAATTGCAGGGCTGGATAAAGGTGAGGCTATGGAGAGCTAAGAAGCCCATTCACCCATGAATGTTAGAGGGACCGGCACTCTCAGAGCAGGCTGGATCTCTCCTGAGAAGGGGGAGCAGGAAGCAGCCACAGAAAATGAGACAGGCGCACTGTGATTTGTTGGATCTATTGGGCCGAGCCCAGTTTCGGCTCTATTCGTCATTGTCTAAGCACATTCCATGCAGTTAATGCTGGCTGGAAAGGACATGCCGCGTCCGCTTCTATTGTGTTTAGCTCCTTGCAGTGTTAGCATACCCAGTGTGGCAGGGGAAATGGCTGGTGCTGAGCAGGTAACACAGCCCTTACTCGGAAAGGGCTGGCGCTAAGTGAAAGCAAACAGCTCAAGACAAGACAGATCATACACAGAGCCAAAGGGTGGGGCCAGCACAGCTCCAGTGCTTCATGGCATAGGTATGTTCATAACGTCTCTTCCCAGAGAAGGAGGGACTGTGGTGTGGGGAACTCTTCCAGGCACACGGAGAGGCGGGAGAGACCCAGGCACTGAACTGGAAATAGCAAGCGCCACTCTTTAGCAGAGCAGGGCTCCTTGCAGCTCTTCACAAGCATCCATTCGTTCTCATTACTCCCCTGAGAAAGGAGAGAACTGGGGGTCCCTCCAGGGCCCAGATGGGGAACTGAGGTCTGGTGAAGGGAAGATGTGATGGGGGGGAGGGGGCTTCAGGGTGCAGCCTGGAACTGGGGGACCACTGAGCCTTTGTCTCACTTGCCCGGGCTCCCTCTCGCGCTGTGCCAAGTAGCAAACTGCTCCCGCTCCCTGTGAGAAATGCAAAGGGCCTGGGGCTCCAGGCATTACTGTGATAGTGGCATCGGCAGCTGGGAGCTCCCGGCCCTTTTAACTTACTGGGCTCCAGGGCAGCTGCCCCTTTGCTGCCCTCTGTGCAGGGCCGGCTCTACGTTTTTTGCCGCCCCAAGCGAAAAAATGTTTGGCCGCCTCCCCCCTTTTTTTGTTGGCTTTTACACATTTGCACTTTGCAATTTTTTTTGTTTGTTTTCATTTTCGTCTTGGCATTTTAGCCCTATAAATAGCAAATAGAATTTTAATTATTTTTTTCCATAAAGGCAAAGGCGCTTCAAGTAAACTCCCCCTCCCCTTTCACTCACTCCTGGGTCACAACAGCTTTTTCCCTGCCCTGTCCAGCCCCTCCCTATGCACAAGCACCCCTCACTCCCGACCCACAGGGGGAGCAGGGTGCAGGTATAGGGAGCAGGGGGAGTAGGGTTCACCATGGGGAATGGGAGGCGCAGAGCTAGAGGGATGTGGGGAACAGTGGGGGGGGGTACAGGGGTGGCACAGAGAATGGGAGGCACAGAGCTAGAGGGATGCGGGGAAGAGTGTGGGGGGTACAGGGGTGGCACGGGGAATGGGAGGCACAGAGCCAGAGGGACGCAGGGATTGGGGGGAGCTGGATGCAGGGTGCAGGGGAGGCACGGGAAATGGGACGCGGGGAACGGGAGGGGCAGAGGTATCGGGGTCCAGGGGCAGTGCAGGGAATGGGGGGCACAGACCCAGAGGGCTGCAGGGAAAAGGGGCTGCAGGGTGCAGAGGGGGCGCAGAGCCAGAGGGTCGTGGGGAACGAGGTGCAGGGGTGACGCAGAGCCAGAGAGTTGCAGGGACCAGGGTGCAGGGGACCAGGGTGCAGGGCGCAGGGGCAGCACAGGGAACGGGTGGCGTGGAGCCAGAGAGGCGCAGGGTGGGGCGGAGCGGGTGCAGCAAGCTGGGCAGCTGTCAGGGAGCAGTCTCTCACTGGCAAAGGGGGCTGGAGCTGACGGGGCGGGGCAGAGCCTGGGTTGTAGATATAGATTTTGTTGTTATAGTAACTGAGTAGGTCACTGGAATCAGCCCAGCTACATAAGAACATAACATAAGAACGGCCGTACTGGGTCAGACCAAAGGTCCATCTAGCCCACTATCCTGTCTACAGACAGTGGCCAGCACCAGGTGCCCCAGAGAGGGTGGACCAGAGACAATGATCAAGTGATTTGTCTCCTGCCATCCCTCTCCAGCCTCTGACAAACAAAGGCCAAGGACACCACTTTA